GAAAGAGTTTCTTTGTTTTTTTAAACAGAATGTTCCCTTTTTAAGGGTTACTTTGCCAGTATATACCAATTTTTATGTACGTATATTATACATACATTCACACATACTCCTGTGTTTCTCCTATACTGTACCATAGAGTAATGCTGTACCATAGAGCTAATATAGATATTTCTACTGTTCTATGAGCTTTTTGTTTACCTTCTGTTTCAGCTGATAACATATTTGAAAATAACTTTCAGTTAACTGTCACTGTTAATGGTGCTCACCCAGATACGTGCATCTGTATCTCCTACCTCATTTTTTTTATTCCTCTGACTCTGTAAAAATCCTACAATTCAGAGAGGAGAGAATGAAGTTTGATTCAAAAGGAAGAAAGTTTTTTCTAGAAAATTCCTCTTTTCTTTGTCAAATGTTATAGACAGATTCTCCAATACGTTATTCCAGGAGGCGACTCAGCATGGATAAGGCCCAGCATACACTAACTAATCTTCCAGGAAACATTTTATTAGCATCAATTCCTTGCCTGTGCTAACATAAACACCTCCCTGCAGCTTCACCCTCCTCAGTAAGCTGTCCCACTCATTACATGCTCGTTACCTGTGTCTTCCAAGGGCAGCTGGGGTTTTATTTCTTGTTCTGCTATGTCTGCTACAACTGCTGCCGCCGCTTCAGGGGGTGGCTGTGGAGGCGAAGGTGGTGCCTTTACCGGTGTAGTGGACTCCGGGGTCTCAAATGCTTCTTCAGAGTCAGAGCTCCTGGTGAAAATCAAATGAGAGACTAGTGAGCAGAGTGAAGATTCATGTTTGCAGGTCATACTTGGAAATGCAGGGCTTTCTGAGCTGATGGCATAGACCTCAGCTATCAGGCTACCTCTGCATTTCCCAAAGGAGATTTTACATTGCAGTATGGTTTCCAGAGCAGAATATCACGGCTACGGTCTTCTCCATATATATTTATGTCACTTAAGACTTCTTTGTGTTACAAAAGCGAACACACACTTGGAAATAAAACCGTCCTGCAAAGCCTGCTTTCTAGTGTGAAGGTGGCTCAACCACACAGACAACAACACTGACACCTCTGTGTTAGTTTCTAGAACTCTCCTTGGCTCAAGTGTACCTAAATCAACTAAAAAAAAAAGAATAAAAAGGATCTTCTAAAGAGATTTCATAATTTCATCAAAAAAACCATCTAAAATGGCAGACATGGAGATATCTGAGGTATCTGAGATATCTGAGGTGCAGCAAATCCTTGTGCATCCTGCCCCCATGGAAATACTACATTCTATTTTTAGCAGAATTTTACCATAGCCCTTTTCAAATGGTTAAGTGTATAGCTTTGTTACACAAGGTAAGACAAGCTGTAAAATGTACAGAGTCCTGGTATTATCAATAAACCTCTTCTAGCACCATGTGCTCACACAGACACAAAAACCCTGCAAGGAAACAGCAGCACCCAAAATGGAGCCAATCAAACAAAACTCAAGCTTGAAGGGCAGCAACTGTACAAAATGATGGGTAACCTAAACATTAAGTGAAGATCTAAAGCACACAAGGACACACAGTTTGCTCTTACAGCAGTACAGCCTTAGGAAACTGTCCTTCTAGGTCTGAAAATTATAGATCTTATTTGTTCTTAAACCAAACTGAGACCAAATTTTAGCTTTTAAACATTTCTTCTTGAAGCCTTTTTTGGGGAGCAAGGAATGCAGTAACAACGGTGTCATATCCAATATGCACTGAACATATGTTCAATATATGTTCAATAAGCATTTCTGTTGGTCAGATGCAGATTTTTACTGCTGGTCTGTAATAAAGTGAATTGAATATGACAGTTGCCTAAAGGACAGGACTGATTTGCCTATTTCCAGCAATTCTTTGCATGGCTGTAGTCTCCACTGCTCCTCACAGCTGTCCGCACCCCACACGCCAATTTGCCATGAAATGAAAAGCCATTTCATCCCCCAGAAGCACTCTACAAGCCGTCCTGAATTGAGGCCTCTTCTCATTTTGTTCAAGTTAAAAGATAACTCTGAGCTGCCAGATTCTGTTTGGTTTCTCAAAGCTCATGATTATTTTAAGCAGCTCGATGTCAGGAGAAGTACAAGTACAGGATTTGCATTCAATTACATTTGCCTAAATCTATCGCAGCATGAAGTCTTTGGTGAGCTGGGGAAGAAAAGACCCCCATGTCACCCCTGACAGCTTGAGGAGCACATCGGACCCGGTTCTCTCCAGCTGCTTCTGCAGAATCCCAACGAGAGCTCCCACCTCCTCGCACGCCATCAGGGTGCACACCACAGCCCGGCACTGACCCGTCTCCCCTGTCTGATCACCCCTACTCCTGTGCAAAGCAAAAGGATTTCTACTAGCTAATAGCTTTGGATGTTTGCATTACTCAGGGATTTCTGGAGATTTTTTTTTCCTCCCCAAACTTATGTCACTGTCTGGGGAACTGCTCAAAAATAGTGTGCCTGGCTTTCGATTATATCTATTGCCGCAGCTCCTCAAAATACCTTCTTTGTGTCATTGCTTAAACCATATTCATTCATCAGGCCACAGAACAGACAAATTGGAAGCGGTAGGCTGCAGATTTTAAATTATATCCCTTCAAAGATGCACCATGTTTTAAGTTCAAAATATTTTAAGCTTAAGAACAGCTGCAAACAAAGAGCTTCTGTAAATAAAGCTGCACAATAGGTATTCCAACAAAATAACGCTTTCTCTTCCTTCCATAGAGCTGGTTCAGGAAACTTTTAAGTTGAAGAATCAAAGAGAAACAGAGTTGTGTGTATTTTCCCAGCAGAGAAATGTTTCTTGTGTCATAAAAATAAACCTAGAAAGTTATCATCTAAACCAACAAAATGAAAGGTAATTCATATCTCTCAGGCTTTCACATACTTCTGCATTGCGCTGTACTTAATTAATGCTTTACTCCCTTCATTTCGAACCCAAAGAGTTGCTCTGTAATACTGAAGCAGTAACAGTTGCACACGTTTAGATCCCTTTTTTCCAAACATGTAACATATGCAGTAAATATACAGACATATGTAATATAACTGAAATTGTAAAAAGTCTCTGTTTTCATGTCCTACTCATATTTGTAATGGCTTTGTTAAAACTGGCTTGACGGTGCAGTTCTGTGTCCTCCTTTATTTAAATGATAGAAAGACACTGTGCATGTTTATCTCCCTTTTAAATGAGCTACCTTTGTTTACCTGGTCTCTTCCTTGGATGAGGTGGGCATAAGCATTTGAAGTAAAGAAAAGTGTCTGTTCTTTTTTGTTCACTGTACGAGCTTCTACACTGGAGAACCCCCCGAGTTTGTGGACAGACAGTTGTGGTGCCTGAGCTCCAGCACAAGGCTTTGTTTTGCTAGTATTTAATAATCCCCAGAAGATTCTGATGCAATACTCCTAATTTTCAGCTGCACCCCTACATAAGCAGCAGTGTAATCAAGTAAGAACCATCTTAACCGTAATCCAAATGCTGCTGAGTTTGTTATGAGAAGCAATCGTGCTGGCAAAATATGGTATTTAACAAAGAAATATGAAGGGAAGCTGAATACCAGAAAAACGTTCTTTGTCATAGCCTGGGATCTGGGAGAGAACATAAAGCCTGGAAGTACATACCAGGACTACGTTCCAAGGCCTACATCACATGTATCCTGGAAAAATTAGATCCTGTGTTCAGTTTTCTTTAGTGAAAATACGGATGGTGTCCCTTGCATAGGATATTTTTAGGACTACAGTCCTACTTTCAAACTGTAAGAAAAGATTTTCCCAGAACAACAGGATTTCCTGTGAAAAGGAAATTACATATTTCAGCCAGTTCTATTCATAATGTCTTTTCTCTGAGAAATACATGGAATACACAGAAAGAAAATAATGCTGCCGTGAAGTTCATGGTGTAAAACAGATTGCCAAATTGCGATATGCTGTGAGAATCTGCACCAATTCAAAGCTGTGCAAGGAGCAGCCACCACGGATCCAGCTGTGGACAGGCTCTCATGAAAGGAAGAGCCCTTGTATCATCTAGAATATCATTCTGAAGCCCCAGCCAAGGATGAAGCACGGTGAGATGGGACGCATGGGTTTTAGAGACGGAGAACTCATCTGCTGGCCCCAGCTCTTCATGTTGTGGAGATGGGGCATGCAAGTGTAGAGTCCAAGTCTGCAGGACTAGTTTGTGGGGCAGCGATGAAGTAAAAGCCACAGGAAGGAACATACATTCATGCGTCCTTTTAGCCAGCTTGGGAAATTAGTGGGAGCTTGCCTTGATAGCGTATGTCATATACTTCCATCTTTGGGTTTTGCACATAACGGGCAAAAAAGTATAGACTGTAGAAGCAGCTACAAAATGATTAGATGATAGTAATAGAATACAAAGTGACCAGAAATATTCTTCTAGTCCATCTCTTTCACCTCCCTTCTTCAAAGACACCAGTGAACAGTAAATGTAACACATAGATATGTGGGAGGGAAGCAGAGGAGAACTGAGAAATGCAAGAATCGTACCAGACCAATACAACTGTAGCAACGCTGCATCAACTTGTGGAGCAGCAGCACTCCCACTCTCATCTGGAAACTCTGAGGTCTTGCCCAGCCTGTCACATAAATCTCCGGACGAAATACTGAAGGGAGTCACTAGGGTCGACTTTTCTTCACCTTTGGCCTTGCGGAAATCCAGCCTCCTAAGTTACATTACCTTTTTTTGTAAACCACAGATGCTTACAATTTTAAGTCCTCTTCTATTTCAGAATGAAAAATTGCCTTTTTGTCACTGTAGCTGAAAAGCACTCAGTAAGCAAGAACGAGATTTCTTCATTCCACTGCCTCTCCTCACTGTTTGCCCTCTTCAGGCACGACAGCCACTAAAGTGAGGTCATCCTACTTGTCACTTGGAAACTCAATTCATTAAAAAGTAGTTTGCAACAGAGCTGTGACCTTCAGCCTCATCGGGAACCCTGCCGTCTGTCTCAGGTTCTTTTAATATTTACACTACAGCAGTATAACCCATGCAAGTGTGCACTCTGGTTTTATTTCACAGGAGTGAAAGGGATGTCTGATATATAAAAGAAACTTAAAATCAGGGCTTTGACACAAGGACTGAGGTCAGCAGCTTCACTTCCTATGGAGGGGCACAAGGGAGCAAATCTGGAACCAGTATGTGTTGAGGGAGCTCCACAGGCTTTTCTAGAGTTACTTCACTTAAAGTCAAATCTATAGAGAATTTTTATTTAGCGTATAGCCTGTTTCAGAAAAAAAACCCCATGCCTAACTACTCTATGGAGCACTGATCTATTGGTGTGCAATATGGACAGTCTGGAGAGGAATGGGGTGTGATATTTTGAAGTTTTGAAGCCAGGAGCTGGAGTCACATTATGGAGAAGCGCTGCCTGTGCTGGGAGTGGGGAGAGGGGGATGGAGCCAAAGGAGCTGCTCTCCACCAGCCGGGGCTGTGAAATCACAAGTAACAACATCAAGACCAGCTCCAGGGGGATCTGCTCCATCAGACCTACGGTGAACAGCCTCTGTCCATCTGTATTTAAATTTGTGTACTTCCTTCCAAACTTTGCACTTAGGAAAAAGCATGTTAAATTTGCCTTATTAGTGGAACATGCCCAGATTACTTGAGGTCTCTCATACCTGTCAGTGATATCACTGACGTCCAGCTAGCACTCCATGAACTCATCCTTCTTGCTGGTACTCAAAAAACTCTATCTGCTAATTGTTTTGTCTCTATGTACCTTTGTTTTA